GTCCAATATTTATACACTGAATTGACCACGGATTTTTTCCGTTATTTCCTGATTATGACAACGAGCACACGGCGGGTGTGACCGTTCGGCAGGGGATGCTCACTCCTCCATGGCACCTGATCCCACCTCTGATGTTTCGGAGGTCCGTGTTTGCTCTGCTCTTATTTTGTATATTTGTTTAATGGACGTTGAGATTGAATACTGTTCGTTATTTCCATATCCTTCTCTGTGCGAAGCCCAATTACGAACTTTATTTTTTCAAGTTTTGGGCTTTTTTCAATGACCTTTACCATCGTTTCGATTGAAAGTCTTTTTTCACATGGGTTTTCGTTCCACAATCCACCCCATCCATCAATGAAATAAACTGTGTTGAGTTTAAAAACTTTTTTGTTGGAGGCTCAAAAAATCCTTAGTAATGTCGAAGTAGTTATAGTATTCGCTAATCATGTTATTACTTTCAGCGAATGCATCTGCTATTTTTTTTCCAGAAGTAGAGACAGAATTTCCAAGTTTACCAACTACGTAAAGGATATTTCCGTCATTCAGTAAATGAATACCAACTCGGATATGCTCGTCTTCAGGAGATGCATCTAAATTCAAAGACAAAAATTTGCAACAATTTTGAATTTGAAAATTTAAATAACACATTACTTTTAATTCAAATATTCGATCTACAACTTTTACTACATAAATTTGTAGGGAAAATTGATTCTTACTCATAATGCAAAATGAAACAATAAAAAATCCATTGATACTTCGTTTTATCTTCTCACGAGGTACAATGTAGCAATGACAGTGTAAACATTGTAAAAACACAGGCGGAATAAGGAAACATACAGTATATTCTACCTTGACTACCTCAGTGATATATTATGCCGTCATAGTAGGCGAGATGACGTTAACTTTAGAACAAGTTTTCGTGATATTGGTATTTAGAGATGTTAGTTACCTCTACAAATGAATAGAACCGTGTAAACATTAACAAGAGGAAAATGTTTTTATTTTATTATGCTGTATTCTGTCATTTTTGATTAAAATATACAAACAATGACGTCATATTTGTACATTATGTAATTTGGGAATTGATCAAGTCGTGTAAAGAGAATTTGGCTAGGATACGTAAAGATACGTAAAATAGAGTTAAATAATTTGTTAAATTCATATGGAGTTCAGTCAATAAAACAGGTATGTTAACTTTTTTCCCATCGAAAATGTTCCTTTCGAAGACAGTCAGCTATAAATGTATCCCGTTTGGCCTTTCCTGTGTCATTTCTGGCAAAAATAATGCACCAGAACTACAACAACCGAAAGCAAGGGACCACAATTATTTGAATTTGCTTGATTACAGACCCTGAGACGTGCTACTACCCCACACGCTCGCTGCACGAACGGTACACGAACGCTACACGGTTTGCACGAAACGCTGCACGGTTTACACGAAACGCTACACGGTTTGCACGAAACGCTACACGGTTTACACGAAACGCTTTGCACGAAAGGCTGCACGGTTTACACGAAAGGCTGCACGAAACGCTTTGTACACGTTTCTCACACGCTTTGTACACGATTCTCGCACGTTTTGGTCTCGGTTTGGATTTTATACTCGGAATATCTCGGACATTATTACGGTTTTATCATCAATTAAATGGAAATCTACTTTCACAAAGCCACATTTAGCAGCTGATTAAATTAAATATCAGTACACTAGTTCCATATAAACCATTTGTAATTCATTAATAAATAATTGTCATTTTGTATTTATTTATTTATCCAAATGTTTAAAAACGAAATGCCGGTATCATGAATGCCTGCTTGATGAAATACATTTTTTTTATATTAGCCATTCATTACAATGTATCTCCTGCAATTAAATATTTTTACGAGTATATTTTAAAAAATTAAACAAAAATGTGATTTCTTTCAGCAGGAATATGAACTCATTGATTTTAAATAATATATATGATATTGTTTTTGAATTCCATGGGCGGATTATTTTTCTTGATTTTGATTTAGTAATAAAATTTGCCTATATACTTTACAAACGATTATTGATACATTTTTAAAGATTATTTTATCTTACCTAAGCATTATCTGTAGGAGGGAAACCTGTAAGGGGGGTAAATGTGATGTCTTAATCTATTTTTATTTTCTTTCTCTTTTTACATGAAGCTCAACAAATAACATCTGTATACCCATCATACTGTAAATTCCTTCAAAACCCGATTAGACGTATGTATATATGTGTACGTAAGTCGCGGCATTTGAATATACATTGTACATACAATGTAGATCGATCTTTACACCGACATTCAGGTATATTACAAGAAAACGGAAAAATCTTAGATGAATTGTACGTGATTGATAAAACAAATAATATACAATTAATAATAATTTACACCTGAACTTTTCATACATGATATTCATGGAAAGACTACCAAATCAGTTCTCTTTTTATTTAACTGTTTATTTTACTGTTTACGGCTAGAAATTCGGATTTACAAATAAAAGATGAAATCCGCTGATATATAAGTTGAACCAATTAAATATTCATAGAATCATTTTATTTTCAAAATAATAAAACCCAGTCGTAATTTATAAGTGTCATTAAGCCGTGAACTCAACATGTACATATAGCAAAACAGGTTTTTACTTCAATGCACTCGGAGCCCGTTATCGTTGTTGTTTACATGACCTTGATCACAGTTCAAAGGCGGTAAGAAGATTCAAATATATTTTTAAGGGGTGTATCTGCGCACACAGGATTTAGAAAAGAATATAAAATTAAGCATTTAGTTAAACTAACATTAGATGGAAAATTACAACAAAAAACGAAAGACTACTAGTAATTTTATTAACCCCCTTTTCTAAACACGTGTGCCTGTGAATTAAAATAATCATCCATTTATATGACAAACATGAGCAACGTTAACACATTTGAAGGTATTAAAAGGTATTAAATGACACATCGTTTCAAAACTTTCTTTCACGTACTTAAAATTTTAAGACAAAAAGTCCCAATATATTCTTGCATTTGCTTTTTAAAAATTAAAAAAAAGTAAAACCGGTAATTCTTTCTTTGAGAAAAATTTTAGTTTATTAATTTGAACACCTTTTCTTTAGAAGGAAAAGAAAACAAATATTAAAATATATGTTATACATTACCGTGTAATTTCATTTTGTTGTTCCGTTTTTTTTTTTTTTTTACTCCTAAAATATCACAAGCATTTTAATAATTAATTCAATAATAAAATAATAATACAATTTAACATCCTGACCTATCGATAGCCATATTTAAAATGAAATGACTTCCGAATGAATCTTACACGATTCTTGCACGAAAGTCGCACGTTTCTTACACGGTTCTCACACGAAAGTCGCACGTTTCTCACACGCTTCTCGCACGCTCGCTGCACGGTTTGCACGAAACGCTTTGAAGCTTACACGAAACGCTGCACGGTTTACACGAAACGCTACACGGTTTGCACGAAACGCTGCACGGTTTACACGAAACGCTACACGGTTTGCACGAAACGGAAACGGAAAGCGCACGTAAGTCACACGCTTTTTTGGGGTAGTAGCACGTCTCAGGGTAATATTTTCCATTGCATTTGATGCCTAAAAGGTCAAAGTCCCCTGGGTAAATGGGCAACAGGCGGAATGCACTCTTAAGGTCAGTTTTAGCCAGTAAGGTACCCTGTCCCAATTCCTGTATCATCGATACTGCTTCGTCTATATTGCTATACTTCACAGTGCAAATGTCCGGGTCAATAAAATAATTAACTGAATCAAAGTCTGGGTAGGATAAGTGATGAATTAAACGAAAATCCCCATCTTTTTTGGAGCAAACCTACTGGTGATATGCGAAGTGTAGGTAAAGGAATATCGTGAAAAGGACCAGCCATCCTACCCAAGGCAACTTCTTTAGTGAGCTTTTGCTCTACAACTTGAGGGGCGACTCTGGCCGATTTAAGATTTCTTGCTTCCCTGTAAGCTCTAGGGCCAGCGTAGTGCAGCGGAAAACCAAATTTAAAACCATCTAACAGTTGCTGTTTCTCTGAATTGAAAGGATATGATTTTAATTCGTTATTCAGTTGGTTGTAATTAATGGGTGTGGTAGCAAGGTCATATAGAGTTGTGTCAGCATTATTTCTGCCTGAATCTGCAGTTGATTCCGGGGTGAGATCCCCCACAGTTTGTGCATCTGTGTCTAAACTTGGAGGGATTAAATGAGCATGAGCCCCAATTAAAGGCAAAGCAGTTGCCAACAGACCTTGGTGACTGTGGTTTATTAATCTTATAGCCTTGGTTAAATCCGGACCCCACCTTGGGTTGTTGTTCCGGGATAGGTTGTTTGAGTCCGGGTGCGAAAGGAACTACCCCCAGCGAAAGTATTTGTGAAGCAGATTGTTCTGGCTGCCCCGGTGTTATCAACACTACCACAATTCGAAATCCACTTCCCCCCATGATGAAGTAGGGTACCTCTCTTTTTTCAAGCGGAATTGCTCGTCATATTTGGACCAACTCAAATGACCCTGTCTAATAGCGGCCAATCAAATACTATGCATATATTTAATCATTTCTTGGGCTTTCCCGGGAAACCTCTCGAGGTATATTGACATGTATATAATAAACGCGGTAGTCCAAATGTGTATATTATTTATCGACTTCAAACGTTGTTTTTCGACAACTAATTGGCCATTTTTGATCACCAGTTCCCCAGTAATGTTCGGGTCCGTCCTTAGGTCATGAGCCTGTTTTAACAATACTGCCAAATCTATGTAAGAACCTGTCCATATTTTTTCTCGAATGGCTGCAGGCACATGGCTGCCCATAGAGTCACAAATACTAATTTCTGTCGATGGGCGACTGCTTGTAACCTGCATCTGTTCCCCAGTCGAAAGACCCCCCTATACATTGAGCTACTGAATTAAACAAGCCCAACTGATTCGTGTCCAAGCTTCTCGCTTCGTGCCAATTTTTATTGAAATCAATGTTTATACCTGGCCCTGCGCCCTTGTCCGGCTGTGTCGGACCCTGTACCGTCTGGTTACTGACGCTTTCATCTAATAAAGGTACTGCCGGTGCTGCTTCACTCTCTGGATTGTCTGAATTCAGGGGCCCATCCGAGCTTTGATTTTGAGCTTCAACCAACCGTCTGCTCGGTTTTCTTTTTCTTTTTGAACTACCATCGGAGCTTCTTTGTCCCTCCTTACGCCCCCTCTTTCTTGTTTTTGGAGGCATGATTAGATTCGATGACAGTGGATAACTGGATATATTGGACTAAAAGATCTTGAAATATTTTAAAGATGTCCGGCTGCTTCCATGCTCTCTTTCTAGAATATTCTAAATCAGTATCACTGAGGGCTTGATTTAATTTACTCAATGTATATAACAAAAGCTTGAAATTGTTTCATCGGGAATAAGGCTACAAGAGTTATCGCGCTTGCACTGGAATTAAAGGCATTTATCACAATATGGTGATAAATGCAATAATGTTTATTATTCACCTGTTTACTAATATGATATTTTGCTTTTAGGATTATGATTTTCCTATAGAAACTTAAAATTAAAATACAAAGTTAACATAATCCTTGTAGTCCCAATTTGGGTCAATTAATCTTCTTAACCCAATGAACAATTTCTTACATCGCAGGTTCAGAATACATTAGTACATGTATATAGAATTAACCATAAAGAACACAACTAACTTAGAAAGACTGCAACCCTCCACATTTTCCTTGATTCAAGAAATTGGATTGGGTCCAGCTTTCAAAACATCACCAAACATTGAACTATTCAGCCGACCAATGTGTAGTTTCTGCCACATGTCAGATGTCGCTGATCTCTAGTACTCTTCTAAGTGAACTCTACTAATTCATGGTCAATTGCAAATGGAGGTGTTGAAATTTGAAAATTAATAATGAACTTAATGTACATAACGTGTAATACTTAGTTTGAACTTAAAAGAAGGTACAGATCAAATATATAACAAGTCATTGTTTAAAAAATGTTTTAAGATGTTTTTTTTAATCAACATTGATGATTATTAACAGATTTCCTTACCATTACCCTCGAAGAAGATCAGACTTTTCATCCTAGTAATCATGATATCCTCAAAATCCTGGACCTCCATCTCTTAAATAGCATTCGAAACAGCATCAAGAATATTCCACAAGTGTAATATGCCTTAAACAACAATTGTATAAAGTTGTCCTATATTCTTTTTAACGAACATCAATTTAGGACAAATGATAATTAACAAATGATATTTAAAACATTTTTTTTTAAATCACCAAAAAATAATGGCTTAACTGAATGTCTTTAAAATGAATTAGTTTAGCTACATAAAATTTCATGTTAATTTAAAGTTTCTTTATGATGAGGTCCAATAAAGCGATAAAATTTTTAATTGAAATGGTAATAATAAGAATAAAAAAGAAGTAATCAAAGAAAATAAACAATTTCTTCATACATTAGAATATTAATAGGTTTCATTCATATCACAATTGAGGTCCAAGAATAGAACCATTGCGTGCTTAGTTTGGACTTTTAGTAAGGCATGGTATTTTTGGCACTACATGTTTACCGCCTGTCATTAAATGGGGAATAGATTCTCATTAGTTTAGAAATTGATAACATCAGGAACTTTAAATTATATTAAATACAACAATGAGATGACTTAGGCTCCACCTCTTTGCAGGATGAGACAATGTAATTGGTTATTCGATACATTATTTTGCATTTGCCCAAATTTCTATCTCATGTACATTTCAACAGTGAAGGTGATCTGTGTAAATTTCAGAAGCTAATTATGTAACGTCCTTACTGAAAGTCCAAATAATATTAAAATGGTTCTATTAATCAATCCATGCATCGAAATTTTGTGCGTTAAAGTATGTATTCTTAAATTCCAGGAATAAATCATATTATGAATTTTTATTTAGAATTGTAATATTTATTAATTCCTACCTGTTTGTGGGAAGGTATCTCTTAAGTTTTTCAACTACTGCAGATTATTATGTAGATCCATCTTTTTGTCATCTGAGTGGCGATGATCAAAAGAGGCAACTGGATAATCTCAATTGTGTAGGTAGAAGCATGGACTTTTTGGGTAAAGAGCTCATGGGCCCAGTTAGCTTCACCTGGTGCCCAGGAATGATCCATTTACATGGCTGAGATGTACAACTTACTGATGTTTCACCAGGTTTGGCATGGCTAAGTGCGAAGAGAAGTTCACCTATATGGCTACATTCCTGTGCTAACCTAAAAGTAGAAAGGCTTCATGGAATAATGCATATAAATAATTACATAATTATACAGTAAACACATGATTATACTTTTTCAGTGCATGTATCAATTTCTGTTTTTTTTTAAATTGAAGCGGATATTACTCAATTATTGATGTACCCATCCCTTTAGAATAATATAATTTCCACTATTAAAATAAATGAGTACAAATTCATAAATAACAAACTGTCAGCTTTATTGTAGTTCATATCTGGGGAGAGAGAGGGTGGGGACTACTTCAACAGAATACTTCATTCATAAACTTTAATCTGAACATCATAATTAGGAGAAGTGACACATTTATGTTGTGAAACAAATATAAATGTATGTAATATAATGACTATAATGTACTAATATCATTCAGTAAAAAATAACGGGTTTGCAATTTTCTTAATTTTCATATTAACCAGTCCAGAAGTGTTTTAAAGTGTAATTAACGCTGTAATATTTAAATATTATACCCTATAGGACACTGGCAATATCCATGCTGTATATGTGGTTTGCCTGTGATGGATGTTGACACACATAGGAAGATTTGTTACTGCTGCTTTTTCATAGAAGCATGGCATGTTGCTCTCACATATATCACGGATGGGTTTATCTAAGTGAAAATACACTTCAATTATTAAATGGACGATTGTCATAAATAACATTAATAATTTCAGTAGATGTTTTAATTAAAAAAAATACTGCCTGTAAATTATCCTGACTCCACATCTCTTTTCTTGCAAACATGTAAATTGTACATGCATTTTAAACATGTAAAATAAACATCTTAAATGACATGTAAGTTTATTAGAGTTCATAATATAAATATTTAAAAAAAAGACATTTTATCCCATACCTGTGATACTTTAATGTCTTGCACATCATCAGCCTCAAAGTGCTTGACAGATCTGTCTAGACCCTTGAAACTTTTCACTGTAATACCACACAGTGTGGGTCTTTCAATAAAAAAAGTTATAAATATCAGTAAAAGTTATTTTAGGAATATAAGAATGTTCTGGAGACTCATAAATTAGGACATTAAAGGGTGGTAAGCTGTCCTGAGAGGGTACTAGCAAGGGACCTCCAGCTGAATCTTGCTGCACAATGGGTGTGAGAACAGAGGGAGACGTTTGGCATATTAATAAATCCTGAATAATTTTTTCCTTTCTCTTTTAAGTAACATTAGTTCTGTGCTCTTCAGCGAGCTTACATGTACGTAACACATTTACTTTTTTAAACTCTCCAGCTTTGACATAGTTGTTATAAGGTACCAATGTAAACAAAATAAGTTTGCCATCTGGAAGAGTTTGTGCGCATGTGCGAGATTTATCATGAAAAGGCTTATGGCGATAAGAAAATTATACCCATTGAAAATACTGTAGATCACTAAATTTTCGCGACACCTTATTTTCGCGAGATAGTTATTGTCTCTTGATTAGCGAGACAAAATTTTCGCGAGTTGTGGTTATTGCTTTATAAATTCTTAAAGAATACAATTATACGCGAAAATTAAATTTTCTGGATCACACTGTCTCGCGTAATTACGCGAAAATAAAGTTCTCGCGAATAAAAAAGTGATTTACAGTACACGAAAATATGAATCGGGCATTTAAAATAATGTAACAAGGAAGCAATGATAAAGTTCACTTAAGGAAAAGGTAGGTTAAAGCCTTCTATTTGTCTCCGATTTGTGGTTGAGGAGTAATGGAAAAATGAATAATTAGAATTCTACCACGTTTATTCAAAACATCAAAGGAAACCGCCGGACATTATTCTCCAATAAATCACGAACGTCATCAAAAAATTATCAGATCAGAAACATGTATCAAATTAAAACAGTACAAATGTATGTTTGGCTGTAGAATGAAATACTTGTTTAGACCGCATCGATGTGTCGTCTTTGTAGGAAATAAACACTGTAAATTTCATAAAGTTGCTGATGAAGTCGGTTTTTATAGCTAAGCGGGGCTATTCCACGGACCTCCCTACACATTAAACAACGTGATTTTAGCAGTAAAACAGGAACATGATTTTGTCATTGTATATTCGTTTTAACTGATCAATACATATAACGAACAAATTTGTAATTTATAAAAGGCTATCTTTAATGTGACGAAAGCTCAGATCGTCTGCATTCCATACACAGGTAAGCAAACAAATTTTACCTCTGGTGTTAAATGGAACAGCGTAATCGAGACATGGTGACCTAATTCGTTTCTCTATAGAGGAAACGATCAGCCGTATTTATCGGTCTTGGAAGAATAGAAATAAAGTCCTTGTTGTCGTGAATGATGCAGAATAACATCCTCGGTCTCGAAATGTTGTTTGAAATATAAAAGCCTCGGCTAACGCCTCGGCTTTAATCTTTCAAACAACATTTCTCGACCTCGGAGGTTATTCTGCAACATTCACGAAAACGCGGACTTTATTTCTTAAACCTATCGTCGCCCCTCGTAAATAAGTAAGTTTTGATTCTTAGAAATGGGGTATACATTGCTAAAAGGAAGGTAAAAAGTATGTCAAATTCCATATATTCTTCATTTATGCACATTGTTGTGTTGTTTCTATTTACATTTTCAGCAAATTTTGGTTCAGAAAACAGGTCAATATCTTGAATAAGCATAAAATTCATATATTTCTTAGTGTAACGTATTTTAAAATTTAACACAACTCCAACAGAATTGAAGGAATGTGAAAACATGTCCAGCTTTGAAACCCTTTTGTGGCTTCCCTGTAGTGTTTGAATCTATTTTTTTCGTTATTTTTAGAACAAGGGCACATTTCATGTTTTTATGTGAAAAAATATAACCACTGTGTTTTGATTTTAGCATTAATGGATGGTGCAGAAATGAAAATTTATATATAAATTCTCGGCACTCATAGCCGGTGAGGGATTTTTGAAAGTAGTTCGTGCCAGCAACCACTGCTACACGAGCCATCTGGTTATATGGTCTCATCCCAAAGATCACTCTTCTTACCCGCAATGTAAAAACACGAATCATCGTTTTAACCCACTAAGGTAAACTTGGGTAATTTCGACCACTTATGCTGACATATGGCTCTCAATCCGCAAAACTTGACCGTTTTCAAATGTACAAATTCAAAATATATCCGGAGTAAAGAAGATTGATTTTTTCTTCAAATTTTATGCTTGACGAACTAAAAATATATCAAAAAATTTAAAAATTAGTTCAAAAATTAGTAACCATGATGCCTGGGTTAATTTCGACCAGCCTCGGGGTAATTTCGACCACAACAAACATCAACAGGAAAGATAACTCTTACAATGAAATTAAACTCTACCTATCGCATTTTATTCAAAATTTATGTTCTAAGAAAATAAACTGTCTGCTATAGGAAATATAAGTGTCTGTTAAAAAAAGATTAAAGATAAATTAATTACATGTATTAACAGTATTATACTTACATATACATGTATGTTTGTTGATTTAGTAAAAAAATGAGTTGGGTTACCATAAGTTTTTCATTGCAGCCTTTGAGATCTTCATTCTTATTCATTATTCTGGATTTGCCAAATCTAATTTACAAACGATGCTATATTGTAATCACTAATGTGGTAGTTATGCAAACAAAATTTCTCTTATTCAATAGATAATTTCCTTTTTAAGATTTTTAAACTGTCCAGTCCGAACTGTACTTCATTTCAATTCGCTTTTTCCGGGGCTCATGCAACAGAATCAAAGTGTATTTTAGGTTTGAACGCTTTTAAGCATATATACTAATTTATTTGAAATGCAGTGTATTTCAAATTGCTTTGAAAATAAAAATAAGTAATAATATGTTTTGTTAATTGTTTAAAATCCTGAGATATTCTATCATATGAAAATAGTGTGCAAAATCAAATTCCTCTAAGCCCCCCCCCCCCCCTAAACTCAAACTATTTATTTCTTAAAATCATTTTTTTTCTTTCAATATTGTTGCAGTTCTTTATGTGTTTTACTCAAACAGCTTGCTTGATACATATATTCATGTATTTGCCGGATTTGTGTACATGGATCGTACGTTCTTAAAACTATAGGTTCTTGGTTTCCGATATCCTCATAATCTTGTCTGTAAACAAATAAATTCGCAAGTATGATAAAAAATACAAAAACTTCATTCTGTAATCATATTTAATTCTCTCTGCATATTTTCATTTATTCATTTGGATTTTAAAATCGTTTTGATTGCTATCGCCATGTGTAAAGTTCTCTACATCGATCAGAGAATGCACCCTCACCGCTCTGCTCCATGTGCTCAGACAATATAGGGATACATTGTAGATCGCAATGCATTCATATATTTTTTAATCGTACATCATTTTCTTTCAAATTTTAAAGAATTTTGTGCATTATGTACAGTATAATATTTAATTTTATTTGAAAGATCTAAATCAGCATTGAATAATGTTCAGCTGTTAAACATAACCCACACATATTTCCCCTTATTACGTCACTGGCCGAAATTACCCCGCGTCCTTAAGAACAGTAGGGGTAATTTCGACCAAATTCAAACGGACTTCTCTTGTGCTTTTTGAGAAAAATCCAAGATAAAAATGTGAAATTCATCTACTTATTATACCCCAAGAACATAATCAAATAATTTTAATTTAATTCGAACTGTTACAAGGTTGAACATTGTCTAACTCAAAAAGAGGTCGTACGAGTTATCTCTCTTGTTTTTCGTTGATCACATCAAGCGCACTGAAGACGGACTTCCGAGTGTCAAACTGGAGAGATAAAAATATTGTGACACATGTAGTTATACCTCTGATCAAATCATTTTTGCGATGAGCAATCATTTTTGGAAATCCAATTTTAGAATTAGTTTGCTTTAAAACCGAATTAAAGAACTTGTCTCAGCAATGCCGTAAATCATGATGCAGTGTTGTGTTTGTGTGGTCGAAATTGAACCGTGGTCGAAATTACCCCGACTTACCCTACTGTAAAATAGACACTCTAACCATTGCATCATACGGACGACACACAAATGTAAGAAATGATCGGTCTCTACAGCCATGAAATATTAAATATAACCTTAATTATAAAAAAGAACTGGGCTAAATATCCAGTCTCGGGATCATAAGACATCTGAGATTAAAGTCAAAATCTTCATTTTTATCACGATATCTTAGAGGTCAAGCACGACAATATTGTTTTACATATTGCATCGCAAAATTATTGTTTTCCGTAAGGTTTGAGATAAATGCAATATTTAATATTTAACATTTTATAGGCCATGAAAATCTGAATTATCGACGTGTGTTCAATGATTCTGGAGCCTGGAACTACAAGTTTATTAAAATGAGTTTTCTTTTTCTTTTGTAAATAATGCAAGTTGAGCATCGGAATCAGCCATCTACCTGAATAACCCCTCTCCCTATGTTATATAAGTTTAGGCACGATGATAAAATTGGACGTTCAGATGTTTTTGATCTTAGTATGAAGGCTGGTTAACATGTATAAGCACAAACTATGAAGATATCAATAAGATCTTTAACATGGTACCGAGAGAAAAAAATGTTAATAAAAAGCGGCTTTATTAGACGAAAATCGGAGAATAATACGAAACTAAATTCTGTGGCTGAAATACATTTAAAGATAATAATTAATTATATTTGGTGTCAAAATATCAGTAAAGTAATGTTCTTGAATTCTAAACTACATTTTCCCGTATATTTTTAGACAAAAACAGTGCTTTTATATTCATTAAAAATGTAAAACAATAAAACATATGCATTTGCAGATTGAAAAAAAAAAATCTACCAGAGCTGTTTTGTTTCCATCGTAATCGTTTTGTAATTTGTAGTAAAATTGAGAATAAAATGAATATTCTGACAAATGTTTTTTAACATTGCTTCAGAAAAGTTGTGTTTTTGCACATTAAAATGTTTAATCAACAGTTAATAAAACAATTACAGGCGATAGAAAATTTGACTTTTAAGTCTAGGTCTGCTTCATGATTCCGGGTCCTATTCGTACGAAACAAAAGAATAACACAATACATATGTATTGATCACAGATTCTTACAAAGAGTTAATAGATAAAAGAACTGGTCGTCCGATGGGAGATGAGTTTGGTAGACCAAGACAAATGACAACAAACTGAAAAGAGCACAGCATTGTTTAGTATTTGAGCAGTAGATTTTATGATCGGTGTTTATTGTTCGAAATTATGCTTCGACGGAATTTAAAAGACGTACAATTCCTGATCAAATTATAAGAAACTCAACTAAACGTTTTGACGTCGTTGGTGTTGCGTTTTCCAGACAAAAGAGTTATTTATACATAAATTTTAATGAAATTTCTGTGTATTATTTTAAAAGTGACGTCTGGGATCGTGTGGGCAAAAGAGAGCCATTTACGATTTTAATGCATGCAATAATTTCTACAAAAATAAGTAACAGTACTAGGTCGGATAACATGAATATTTAATGTGCATGTCTTTTGTCTTAAATATCACTCCTGACATCAGTATTTCTTTTTCTTTTTAAATTCAGGATGCAAAGAGAAGAAAAGATTGCATCTTGAAAAAAGGATTCAGTTTAAATATTAAAAACATAACTCTGGTTAATTGAAGCAATCTGAGCAGGTAAACGCAAATGAAGTCTTACTTTGGAATTACAATCAATAATTCATGGATCAAAATTGATACATAAGTGAACTTAACTTATCTGATTTTCAAACAGAACAAATCGATTTTTGAAAGAAATATTTTGATCAGTCTGCTTTTTGAGTTATAAGTGTCCGGAGAAGGATGTGTAATCTAGCACGTATGATGATCTTGTATAGTTTGTTCAGAATACCTTATCTTTCCATTGGAAGTTTAGTTACAGGCTATTCTAAATTACAATATGGATTTCGACTAGAAAAATGTATGATAAACTCCTATGTTGAGCTTAGCATTTTAGACTGCGTTAAAGAATGTCTTAGAACTACTCGATGTCAATCAGTCAGTTATTATAGAGCAGCCAATTACTGTGAACTTCACTATGAAGACAGGACCACTGCACCAGGGAGATTGGTAGAAGGAACAGAATGGGTCTACAGTGAACGGCGGGATTGGTACAAGGTCAATTTACTTTATAAAATAGACTCAGTTTTATAAATTTTGAAATCATTATATCTCTATATCTATTTAAGTATTTTGGTTTTTACATCAAATTAATATCAGGTGTTGTTTGATTTATTGTTTTTTTGTATCGGTATTTATCATATCTTAAAAGAACTGCATCCCTCTAAAATTAGTATTATTCAACATGTGTACATTAAAAATCGCCATTTTTGAACTTCAAGGTTAATCTTTATATTGATTAATTTAGGTAAAATATTTCAAAGCGTAAAGACAATATACTCATGGTATGCTGTGTAATATTATTAAAAAAGAAATCGGGAAAATTACGGAAGGGTAGACAGGTCTGCCAAAAAAAAAAGCAAGAAGAAAGTTGAAACTAACTTGTTGATATTATTACAGAATGTAACAGGTCCCTGTTCGAACAAACAATGTGGAATCAATGAAAAATGTATAATGATTGGACGTACTGCTACATGTCAGTTATCAGGTATTTTCACTTTATACATTTAACAAAACTTCTAAGTGTTCACTTTAATAAAAGCATTTATTTAAAAACTACTTTATAGAATGGTATGATATTTTCAAATTATTACAACAAATGAGTCTTCTCAACAATTGCAGAAAGAAAATAAAATATCACCAATGAAAACCAATGTTCCGTGACGAAGCTTAAAAACGATAAATCTGTACTTTGCGGAACGTGTTTTGTGTAATTAGCACCTTTTTGTGATCATTATCAAATTTTAAAAAAACTGCTTTCACTTAAAAAACAAAAAACACAAAACATTGGCAAAATGACTATGGAATGTTGATATCTGGACCATCCTTGCACCATATTTTATTCACTTCCATTTTAGTGTTTAATTGTCCTTGATATTACTTTTAAGAATTGACAACCAGTTTGAAAACCCATTTAAACACATTTTTCTATAGGCTGTACATCATTTTTTTTTATCGCCAATCACAATTTGAAAGTTTTGGACAAAATTTAACCAAACCGGAAGTGACCTTGATCTTCGTCTGAGGCCAAAATTTCGCGTCACACCAGGTTAAAAGAATGTTAAATTGTCCCATAACAATCTAAGACACACGAAAACAATTTCAATATGGAAATGGTAGGAAATCGGTGCCTGTGACAGTCTGATATCAGCTCAAACAGTCTGAATCATCCTTATAGCGGTGCGCGTATGTTCTAAACAACCTAAGGTATTGACCAAAAGGCATCTGTGTGATGATATACTGTCAATTTCCCGGATCTGAACCCCATTGAACACATATGGGATTTTTTTAAGGAATGTCAAAGCTCCCCCCCCCCCCTCCACACAATTTCAACGGTTTGGAAAGATCTATGCAGTAGGTGTGACAGCAGACGGATCAATCTTCTATTTAGGGGTTCATGGTATCCAACATTTAACATTGTCTTGTAGTAATTAGAGCAAGTGGTGGTCTTACTCCATAGAGAGTTTTTTTGTGTGAATTTTCATTTTAAAGGCACATATGTCCTTGACACTTTGCTTAAAATTCTGAGGAGATACTTGCATGAAATTTACGCAGAATCGAACTTAAATATGCATCATTAAACATGAATTAAAGAAATTATTTATTGTATGCATTTGTTCTTCAAAACTTAAAACAATGCTCGGTGAACACTTTGAAGTTTGGTTCAGTGTATATACTATTCGTAGTTACAAGATATAACAATGTTCATTGACAATAAGGTGTGTCATTAGAGAAAAAAAATCACAGCGGAAATTGAAAACATGGGATAATTTGCATAGTATGTCATGTCCGTTATGCCCAATTTATCCGATGTTTCCAATCCTTCTATCTTTGATGTCCCTGACATACCTAAAAAAACGGAAAAAGAACTGCGATCCCTTATAATTTGCAGAGCATTAAAGATATCTGATAAGCTTTTGCCGAATGGTCCAAACACTTCCTAGAACTGTAGAATTTTGCCAGTGGTTGGCATTTCAGGACTTTACACTACACTTCGTTCTTATACCATTTAAAAGAAAAACGATGTTACCTGTTTCATCAACTGGGACTAGTGCATTTTATAATCTGTCTAATCCTTTTTTCACCTCTGAATTATTAAACACAGAAGAAGAGATTTGTTTTTGTACTGTTCTTAATGCGAAATTTCAACAAACCGGTATCTCTTTTAAATTTAATGCATCCTGACAAAGTGTCAAGATATTTTTCTTGCTTGGTCCATTGCCTAGCGCATTCTTCCATATTATCTACATGTATAATATTTATGACGTTTTAATGCCAGTTGAAAGATTGGGATTTTCTAAAATACTTTTAAAAAAAGAATTACATGTATAATTAAAGTTCTCATTAAGTAATTACGCTTCAATCTGCGTATTTGTTATAATTTGATAATGAACTGTTTTTAATTTTTGTTCATGTAGGATTTGATTTTTTTAATCGTATTAGTTTATTATAATACATATGACAAAATAGATTGTGGGCCTCCATTCACCAGGAAGATATCAGCTGAAAGTGTGGAAACGTGGGACGGCATTGGTATTAAACGACGAATACATGTAAAATGTACTGACGAGTACAACCAAACCGGAAATGGGATATTCATATGTAACGGGAACGGTAAATGGAACAGTAATATGGTTTGTAATGGTAATTATCAGAATACATGAATCAATTTTACTTATTTTTTCTTTTAAGATGAAATGTACCCAAGGTGAAAAACATTAATTATTGATATATGAAAAATGTGGACATAGAGAGCAGTATTCGAGTTAAAATGTCCATTGAAAATTACAAATAAAGGTTTGAACAAACACGGACCCCCACACCACAAGAGTCGGTATCAAGTGCCACTGAAGATTGAGCATCTTCTACCGACCGGTCACATCCGCCATGCGCTGAGCGGCTCCTTGTCATGATCGGGAAGTAACGGAAATTCCGGTCGTCAATTCGATGTAAAAATAATGGACTGACAATCAGTATGAAATACGTCAATAAGCATTTGATTCAATGATAAATTGATTTTTCTGAAAAGGTCATTGTATCTGTCATATAAAAATAGATACTGCTTGATCATTAACCCTTTAATTTGAATGTGCTTGAACAAAACACGCAGGTTTGTTAAGGCTTGCATGAATGACGTCAAAAATGAAAATACTACATCAGGTGAATGCAGAGTTGTATTAGTAAGGATGGAGAGAGTTACTGACCTTTAGACCTTATTTCCAAGTGATTGAAATGCAGAATTGTATTTTAAAATGCGCATGTCTTAATATTGTAATTTTAAATTCTTAATGTCCGAATATTTGAAATATTCTGCTTTGATAGCTTTGATTCAAATTCTGCTTTTTCAGAATACTGACGAAAATTATACTTTTGAAATAAACTACGATTTAAACCCGTGATTATAGGTAGAAATTATAAAATATGTTTGCATTGAGAAGTCTAGGACAAGTGATTAATGATGATTACTTTGGATTAATTTGTGCAAATCTGTGAAAAAATGTGCGATGGATTTATTTAAATTTAAATAACGATATTGAGCGCAAAACGTCATCAACTATTTCTCGGTAAGTTCATCTCATGTAATATACCCGAATAATAGAACAACTCGGTTATAAAGACGTACGAAATTACTTTGCTATGTCCGTAATTCGTTATGTTCATATCAGGAAATCATTAGATTTAAATAGCTGGGGATCCAGAATAACTTCGCTATATCCGTGTTCGTTTTAAATAGGTTTTACTTTATACAAACATAATCAATGTTTTCTTTCAGTTAAACTTCTCGTGGAATAAACTCGATTATTTATATGATTTTCCCAAGCATATATCGGATACATAGGAATATGATATCGTAAGTGTTATTAAGAAAGTGTCCCCAACTGGGGTAAATGAATACAAATAATTACAAAAAATAGGTAACATGTAGGCATGAATGCATGGGACTTATACTTATTACTATATACATGTACACGTATTCTTATAAGGCCCCAGCAAGTAATTTTTTCTTCTGTTTTGAAAGCATTTTCTAAATGGAAGTAGAATTCATCTTACGAATCCAATTATTTCCATCAATTCCACAAAAGTGATCTTTTTCAATTAGAAATATGGGATTACACATCTTAAAAAAAATTACTTACATCTTTTCTGATATCAATACATTTTAAAACAAAGTTCTAAAATGAAATTCTAGTAACCTTTGATTAAGGGGTTTGGGCATATATCAAAACTACCAACAAACGATTTCTGCTTAGAATTGATGAAATAATCTATTTATTTGGGATCTTTATGGCTCCGAAGCCCTTTAATGCCATGTATTGCCTTTGTCTCAAGTCTTATAGTTTTCTTTATCGACTTACAATGTTGACGTAAGCGTAAAAGGTTGAGGCTACGACAGAGAATCACGTATTTTCATGGAAGTACACAGGAAGATACTGCACCTAAATGATATAAATAAGCAGAATTTTGATTAATTGTTGAGAAAGTTTTCTTTAATATATGAGCTGCTGATTAGGTCGAAATTAAGAAGCCCAACAGTTCATTCCGCATACGTACAGGAACAACACTATCCAGCACAGCAGGCCCATGTTGATGTTAGTGATATTGTTGCATGGCACCTGATCCCACCTCTGATGTTTCGGAGGTCCGTGTTTGCTCTGCCCTTGTTTTGTATTGCTTTATGGACTTTGAGATTGAATACTGTTCATTATCTACATATCCTTCTTGCGCCTTAATATTTTGTAGAAAAATAGTTATTTTCATTTAATTTCCATTAGAGATAAATATCCGTCCTCAATATGACATCATGCATGAAATTAGAGAGAAATTCTACGTTATTTAAACGTTTCAGGCTATATTCAACTCTTCATCCTAATTAGGATAATAGCGAAGCGTTATTACTTCCATCCCAAGAAGAATAATTCAATTACATATTATATACTAATACCGATTAGGCAAATGTTCAATTCACAAAAAAAAAGATTTGTAAGTGGTGCGTTAGCAATTTTGCCTAGTGTATATGGATCCATTGATAAAGTAGCAACTGCTAAAAAAAATCAGTCAAAAATATTCTTAATATTTTTTTTTCATGACTAAGATTCATGTCATAGTTTCAAAAAAAAATTTACATAGAAAGAGAAAATTGCTGTCATAAATAATTTTTTTTTAAGTTAATGAATTGATGAATGCGAGGCAAAATACATTTATTTAGATGCTTTCATAGGCAAAAGACTTGGGTGTTTCGAAGACAACGAGACGCGATCCTTTGACCCTGGAAATTACCACAGACTTCAAAATATGGACGCATCTGTTTGCAGAGACCACTGCCTGGAAATTGATAAAGAATTCAAATACATTGGACTTCAAGTAATGTTGCCGTTTATATGTGTTTCTTGGTTTTTTCCCATTATTAATCATCAAGGACATTTAACATTTGTAATTGTTCAAAATGATCCTCTTTGCAAAAAAAAGAAAAAAAAATTACATTTGAAATGCTAGATGAGAAAACGGACTTGTAAAGTTAATTCTAATCTAAAAATCCTCAATATTAAATAAACAAGACGTTGTCTTCGCTGTTATAACATTTGAATTCAATTTCACAAACAGATGAATTTATTAATTAGGAATAAAGACGCAAGTAAGGGAAATGGAGATCTAAATTCTGCAGAATGTAGATAAAACCTGCCTTTTTTTAAAAAAAAACAAAACATTACTATGGATAAGATTGTACTTTGATTCATGTACTTTGGTTTGAAATTTTACTAAAGAACGCAATTATTTTATTTCTTTACGATTTTGAACCTCGAAATCTTTAATTTCAGAACAAATGCTGTAAAATTTGGAGTGCATTTATGAATTGAAAAGCGTAAAAAAAATATATGTATACATATATATATATATATATACGTATAAAACACTTTGATGCCTTAATTTACAATATCTTAAGCTTTGATACAAACGTAAAAGATTAATTATCGAAGCCTAAATTTAAAAGCTAACAAATATTTTATCATACTTTGTTTCAATGGAAAAATATTCTTTACAGATCTAGAGTGGGGGAATACACTTATCGAAACTCTGAAGTCATTTTGTTAATTTCGTCGTTATATTCTTTTTTGCAGCATGGCTCGGCCTGTTTCTGTGGACATCATATCAAATTCTGGAACAGACGTTCTGACAATGAATGCTATATAAACTGTCCTGGCAATAAAAAAGAAACATGTGGAGGGGATTGGAGAAATGAAATATTTAGTGTTTGAGAAAAAAGAAAGAAACGCATTGACATTCTTTCAGTTTCAATTCATATATATTATCTTCCTTGTTTTTCTGCAAAGGAATGGATGAAAATAAGAAGGAATGATTGAAATATTGTTTGTGGAAGGTCCTCGTTGGTATGTTTTTGTTTTTTTTAAGGAAATGAATTGAACTGGGTGTCCTCCTTTTACTCATGAAGCCTTCTTTTAAAAAAATTCTCAAGTAGATTATACAAGCATAACTTGGGTTACTAATTTACTAGTCTTGTAGTTGAATTTTCTTCCCTTGGATCAATCCTTATCCGAACTAAAACAATCAGAAACAAATCATCTCTTTTTTCAACAAAAATTAGCTGAAATAAAATTAAAAAATTCAACAAAAGAATGAACACTGATGGTTCTACGAACAAAGCAACAATTTTAACGACAGAGGTAAAAGCTATACAATTTGGAATTCTTTGAATGGAATTGCATTTAATAAAATGATGCATAAAAAGAAACGAAAGAATGTAAACACATTTGTATTTTGCCCCAGGAATATTTTTTTTCTTCTGCCAATTGCTGAAAATAAACACAAGTAAAAAATTCTTATGTAAATCAGCTTGCACATTTTTTGGATGATTAGCTATGACACCGTGTTTCGCACGAAGGAAAAAATATTTCAAAATCTGCCAGACGTTTGTGGCCTTCAGACAACTGAAATTTTAGGTTGTTTGGCTTTTGTACCTGTGATCCATAATGCAGTCTCGTTGGCTTTTTGGCAAGTGGAACTTGGGAATGTTGTACTTTCTGACTTTTGATCCATAATATGGAAAGGTGGGCTTTCGGACTTTACTTATGGAAATATTTAACACCTCTTTAGAATTCATTTCTCAGCCTGCTTCTGATTTTGACAGTATACATGTATAAAATAAATAAATTTTTTAAAGATATGTATGATTTTGACTTTTCAAAAGTTCTGTGATGGACAAATTTCAAAGATTTGAAAATCTTAAATTTTCGCTCATTTAAAATTTAAATACAAAGAAGGTTAAAATTTGATCAAGGATATTGTGTTTTCAGCATTTTTAATGTTGAAATAAGGGGACAGGGCCTAATTTACACGGAAAAAAATATACTATAATATCACACAAAATTAGTTGTTTTCTCATAATATCCAAGAATTATTATCATTTGCAAATTTAAACTGTATAAGCATAATAAACAACAACAAAACTTACCAGTGCATTTAAAATATTGGTTATTGGTTTTGTGCGATTATCTTATAAATTGGCGATTGATTGATTGTAAATATTGTTAAACGTGCACCTGGAATATTTTTTTTTACTCATATGGAAATGCCACCATCCACAAGTGGAGAGCTGTAAATGTTATCCTTATAAATTATCAAGTATTTGGTTAATTATGCCTTGTTTTTGTGTTCATGCAGGTTTGGTATATTTAAGATCGAAGTTCCTCATTAAATCGCCTGTTTGGAAGGATATACATTTATAGATTTTAACCATTTTTAAAATACATGTATAAATGAAGGATATGTTCCTTAACATGGAAAAAGCTGCTGCCTTCTTTAAATCAAGAGCGTGACTTAATAAGAACCTAACAGACTTTGTAAAGGTCAAACATATTTCGACATGAGCCCATTGACTTAAAATTTTCCGGAAAGTACGAAGTATACCAATACAATTAATAAACGAGATTTTTAATTTCTTGTAGAATATGCCCTTACAATATTAAAATTTGTTTTTGACCTACATTCACTACAAATACTATGTAATATCATATGATTGTCCATCGATGGGGTCAAACTTAATCAAATAAGTTCAAAGTAGGTGAATCGCTGTTATTTTGATAAGTATTTAACTTATGTGATAATAAAAAACCTTTATGAAAATAAATTCAGTTTTAAAAATTTTCCTTTTTTGCGTGTATGGTATGCTGATTTCTTTATAGTAACCCTCAACACCGCTGCGTTTTTAACAGAAAATTTGTTTTGTGATTACAAAGTTAACCTATGGATATCTTCTTTGTGTACCGGTATTTCAGCACATAAATTGACTGTTACTTAAAAAAGGAGCCTTGAGAAGACCACAGCCTCCATAATATTTTTTTGGCTACAATATCCGAATAAAGAAAACTGTTTAATTATTCATTTTCAACGAGTAGGTTTAAATATGGTAAAGGTCGTCTGGTCCGAATGTTAATCAATCCGAGGGTAAACTAGTCCGAAGGACCACAAGTCCAAATAAAGGTTAGCCAGTCCAAAGACCAGTACGTCGGAAGGTTCAGAAGTCCGACTGTTCACAATAAACTTAAATTTTTTAAATCCACATAACATAGTCGTTCTGCAATGATATACGAGATAACTTGTGGGTATTATTACAATGTAGCCTCCTTTAAATCTTCTATTTCCATATTCACTCAGAAAAGGAATTAACTTCATAGTTATTATGATTAAGGTTGTTCCATAATAAATTGTAAAGTTCATGACCCCAGATTCAATTCTTCTCTTACTTGGACCGGGTTTTATTGACCATAAATTGAAAAATCTTTCATTCCTTAAAATATTTTTTTTTTCTTTTCATGTGTACTAAGATAATAATGCAATTGAAAAGCTATAGAGAAAATATGTCACTGACTAGATTGTAAAAAAAAAAAAAAAAATAAACCTCTAGTTTCATATGTTCTTGTGTAAAGGCGGGGCTTTATTGTTTTTATAGTGAAAATTCTTTCATTTCTTATTCTTATGTAGATTTTTGTAAGGTATGACTTCAAATTTCAAAGGATTTTGGGAAGAAAAAAAACCGAAAGATATTGTGACTTCAGTTTCAGCCAATCTTGCTATTTTGACCATGCCGTTATGTCGTTACTACTAATATATATTTTATTATTATGGGTTTCAAAGCATATAATCAAAAAATAGAAAAAAGTTATGGCAATATCCATTATACTGGCCATATCATGTGTTGCACGTGCGTGCACTTGCAAGCACGTTCGCGGAAAAAGACCTTGTTTCCGCAAATCTACACAACATGTCTACTGAAGAAGAAGCAGAGTAAAAAAACACGCAGCACTGTACGTTAAGGCTTACTTTTGAAAAATCAACGGAAAATAGAAGTCATAAATGAGATTTTTTTTTTTCTAAAATATGAATTTATTTTTATTCAGCTTTTTTACATTTATGTATTTTAATAGAACTTATATACTTATGGAAACAGCATAGTATAACCTATTTGGTATTGTGTAAATTTTGGTCAAATCGATTGGCAGTCACGTGATGAATGCATAGTAAGGGTACTGAGTATATTTCATTAAAAATTTCCAATATCGCAAAGGCATACCCTGTTTGAAATTAAAAATTCAAGCTATTAATTGATTCTTTATACTTTGTACTTCCTGGAAAATGCTGCTGCCTTAAATAGAATTCGCGTTTTAATAGTTAAAATTTCAAGTAAATAGGCTGATGTCGAAAAATATTTGACTTTACCAAATAATCTGTGTTCTTATAAAGTCAAGCTCTCAATTCAAAGACAGCAACATCACTTTCCAAGTTCAAGAACACATCCTTAATTTATATTCGAAAAATGGTAAAAAAGTTTCTTTAGTGTGTGTCCTTGCAAGAAGAACGATTTAAGGTAGGTCGCGGGTTTACTGCATAAAATTCTTGCGAGAAAACATATCCTGAAAATTTGATAAAATGTTCCTTAGAATTGAAAGCGTATCATCAGCAATTTTTATTAAATTTGCCTAAGTAGTTTTATTGTTATAGTACTGTAAACGCGGTATAGTTTATAATCCTATTTGACGTTTTTACCATTGAAACATATGGGCAAATGACGTTTTTAAGCCAATTTTGTGAAAATAGTTTCTTTTAAAAAGGTTGGATAACTTTTTAAAGATGTAGATGAATTATTCGGGAATTTCAAAATGTCAAGATGAGGTAAAATCAAAACCATTAATATAAAAAATCAATATGTCTTCTCGCTAGATTTTTTGCAAAATACCGTATAAGAAGCAATTTTAGCGAGGATTTCATTTTGGCATTATTAGCGAAGGTGCTGACATCGCTAAAATTGAATACCGCTAAAAATTAATTGGGTATATTTGTAATAGCTTCTTTAGTTAATATTTTAAAATCGCTAAAATTACTTCTCGCAAAAAATAAAATACCAGAATTTAGGTAGAATCGCTTAATTTGCGTCTCGCTAAAATTTCCACTTATACGGTAATTTCAAAATTTTCTATTAAAATGTTAAAATTTGGCGTTTATGGCGTTATTAATATCTACGACGTCATTTGTTCAACGTAGTCACGTTTACAGTACTTACGAGTATAAATATATTGACCTATGGAATATGCACGAATTAAAAGGTGATACAAAATTTTATTTTATTCATCATTTAATTTATTGCGGAGACATATTAGGATGACCAGCACCTTATTTTCACTAGTATTGTGAAATTTATATTCTGATCACAAAGCCAGAATGAACGGTATAAATAATCCTAGTGCAGCGACATTAACATACAGCGACAATGTTCACCGCGAGTGAAAAAATATTAATACCTGTATTTTTAGGAAATGCATGGTCAAAAGGTTTTCAGGCATAAAACAAAAATTTGATCACTTTATTTGAAAACGGTAGGAAAAAATCCCTATATATAATGAGGAAATGAGTGGGCAGGGGGGGGGGGGTTTACCTGCAATTTTCTTTCTATAGTAGTCTCAAGCTATAGTGTATGGCTCTAAATCTCAAGCATTTTTTAATTTCGAATTTTCTGAATTAAATTTCAATACGCAAAATGATTGATTGATTGATTGTATATTGTTTAACGTCCCTCTTGAGAATTTTTCACTCATATGGAGACGTCACCGTATGCCGCTGAAGGGCTTCAAATTTAGACCTATACTCTGCACTCAGGGCCATTGAGCAGTGAGGGTTCTTATCGAGCCAGCGCCTACCGTGACACGGGACCTACGTTTTTAAGGTGATATCCGAAAGACCCGTGACTTTCACTTATGATGCCGAGCGCTTGGCGAAGGAACAGTCACTACCTATTTTTACGTCTTAGGTTTGACGCGGCGCCGCAAACTAGAATAGAACCCGGGCCTCCCGATCACGAAGCGAACGCTCTACCACTAGGCTACCGTGAACGGTATACGCAAAATGTAAAACACTTGCATTTAGCTTTTACACGTTGAGCTTTTGTAAAAAAAAATATATAGAAAAAATTATAGTTGTAAATTGTTTACAGTGTTTTGTATGTCTTTAAATCCAGATGTTTGAATAAATTTAAATTTGCCAAATGCATTTCACAACTTATTAGCAAGCAAAACACAAGGTGAGTGCACGAGATTTAAATACATAAATACCAACGAATATTAATGATGATAATTTAAAAAAAAAACCAGGAAAATATACTTGTAATTAAATATAACTTGTTTTTAGTGATGAGGATTAATTTCCATCCTGAAAAGTGTACATACGCATATTTTCGCCCGGCTTTGATTTGAAATTAAGTTGCCCTGAGTTTCAAATAACGTGCGCACATACAATGCTTCAAGTTTCTCGCTAAGCAATTTTTTTATTCATGATGACTTTCTTTCTGCAATCCATAACTTCTACCCTGATTTATTCTGATTGACTTTTAGCAGTTTAGTTACACTTCAAATGTTATTTTTTGCTTTCATTCGGTATTTAATTAGTCCTAAGACATTACATATAATTACATCAGAATTCAGACTGAAATTTAATTATAAAACATGTAAGAGGTTTACGTACAAAAGCATGAACCTTTTGTTAAATTAAACGGGAAACAACGTGACGTTGCCTTTGTGACGTAACTGAGGTCATAATCAAATGTGCACAAAACAACCGTTCGAATCGAGAAAATTGTGTACCAAAATTTATGACAAAAGCAAACCCGCGACCTAC